CATAGATAAAAAATAAAAAATAGATTTTCATAGACTGTTGAGTCGTTGCACCAGTAGCAGCAACAGCTGTGTTAAATACCACTAGCAAAACCGCTGTTCTAAGTTTTTTTCTCATTTTGAACGTGGAATCCACCTATCGCATGGGTGTGTTTGAAATGAGATGATTATTTCCATTAATACTTTCGTATCAAACAATTCTAGTGAACATTATTCTTTGCAGACAACTCCATGACTATGTTCTCTCCTGTAATGTTGCAAAAAAAGTTTTTTCTGCAAGATCCACTATATAAACTGCCATTTAAGCTTTTCCTTCATTTTAGGATGTGACTCCTAAGCCTAACGCTCACCTGGCCCCAGAAGGAGCTAATGTTTCTGTTCCTATGTGCAGTCAGGTGCAGGGGACTCGCTAAATCTACTGTGCTGTGAGCTACAGCCTGTTTTGTAACTTCTTTTTTTTAAACTCGTAACACTTAGTGACAAAACAACTTTCTCAGTAGATTGTTTTATGACAATTAACACAGCATTTTTAATCTAGGTATAAAGGCAAGGTTTGTGCTGATATGACAATGGCCTACCCATTGACTGATATTAATTCAATTAAACCTGTAACTCATTTCCTTAAGGGGTTGCTTTGACCTCTGTGATATTCTGAACTTTAATTTGCAGTGGAAACGGAGGACGGTCTTTAGTTTGCTTAGTTGGTCAAGTCTGAGATAAGATTATGCTTAATGCAGAAATATTTGTATGAGAAGTTTGTCATATGAAAGCAGACCAAATTGTGTACTGATTCATTTTGTCTCAAGTCTCTGCCTATAATTTGGTCTCAGCTCTGAATCGCTCTTCTTTGGGCTTTTCATTTCATGTTAGAGATAAGCCCTGAAGCCACAAGGTGTACGTAAGACGGTAAGCTTACTCAGACTGCAGATCTAAAGGGTTTCTGTTCTTTTTGGCAAACAGTAGCTGGAAGCACTGCTTCTTTCTTTTATCAGGGATGAAAACTAGACAGGCTTAAGATAAGAATCCATTTGTCAGTGAGATCAGAGTCAGGCTCATGTCACTTGCAAAGTAACCCACACATATGGATCACCATGGAAAACACAAAGGGAAGCATATAACTTATTTATACTGCAGTTATTCAGACTTCATGCTGGAACTTCAAGGTAGAAAAATTTGAATGCCCTGACTTTATATCTTTTCTCACTCTATGTTGCTTTGTTTTAATTGATTTTGATATACCAAGAACCAAGAGTTGATTGCAGTAAAACCATGCGGTCAGTACATTTCAAGTACATTTCTGTCAGACCTCTTCTAAATTTCATTATGCAGTTTTAGCCAAATTCACAAGTCATGTAAGTAGACATAAATCCAACAACTTTATCAGGATTAGGATCTAATGGTGCTAGTAGCAGAATCAATAATGTGACTGTACAAACTAAAGTCTCGTATACCCTCTACAATGAGCCAGCTTGGCTGGATAATTTACCAGTCCGCATGCACTGTTTGTTTGTTGGGTTGGTTTTTCTTTTTTTACCTCTTAGAGGTTTTTTTAATAGTTGGAATCAGTCTACTATCCAAAGTCACAATATTTTGTTGTATGTCTACATCAGGGGTAGAACACTGCAGTGTTCCTAAGTTTTTACTTATTATCTACTTAAATCTGAATAACGACTCCAGGGAGTGATTCACATGGTAAACCATACTTCACAATGAACTCCAAGAAAAAAAAAAAATCACATTGCTACTTATTCAAAGAGGTTTTCTGTCTTTAAAGCTTGTTTTAGTGTTAATAATGGCTGACTTGTATGATGATGTGAAAAAGGGGGACAATTTTTTATTGAATCCTGCTAAAATACCTTAGGCTATAATATAAAAAACCTTCAAAAGCTCTAACCCATTTGGGAAGAATTCTTTTTCAGTAACATCAATTTAAAGTAATATGCTTAAAGACGCGTGATATTTCTGCACATACACACCCAGATGGAAAAAAATTAAATTAAGAAGAGGTATAACAGGGGTATTAACATGGTTATGTGCATCTTTAGGCTGTCTGTAAGAATCAGCTGTCACATTTAGGTTTATGAGATGCTCATAATCAGCGATGCACTCTCTTTTACACTTCCATGCTGAGTGGCTCATGTGTCCTAGTTATGCATCTACAATATAATTATGATTTTAAAAAAAGAAAAAGGCCTGTTGCATTAAAGACAGAGTTGGAAATATCCCAATGTATTTCATTAATTTAGTTCAATTTATATGAGTGTGTTTCACTCTGCTAGGGAAGGTTAATTCACCAAGCTCCATTTCCTGCCTTAATCATCTACCATAAGGATATTGATATGTCATATTAATGCCACACATGCTACTGTGAAATTTGTGGTCCAGCCTCTAATGTTTTTTTAACTACCTTTGAGCTAATGGCATATCTATACATACACTTCTAAGCTGCTTTTTTGTATATTGGTCATAATATAAGAACAAAGCATTTCAGCCAGAGGATTTAAACAAAGGAATTTGAACTGTGACTTGCACACCGCTGTTGCCACAGTAGTCCATGACTGAAATCAGCAGTACTGTCTGTTCAGTGGTTTATTATCTAGTCTACGACAGTCTGCAGCTGTGAAATTTGCTGTCACATACAGCAGTTTTTTAAGCTGCAGCAGGATTAAAAAGTAAGCCTGGGGATGTAAAGTTAACTGTTGGCCAGAACCAGGCAGTCACCTACGGCAGTACTACAGGGCAAGGTACCGTGTGCTTAGTCAGTACCAAGGCGTAGGCCTGAAGTGCCTCTGGGAACTTGAAAATGGGGTCATCTTTGGGGGAAATCTTACTGGACCCTTTACAGTGGCAGAACTTGTCAGCAGTAGCCAGGAGTGAGAAGTGAATGGTCACAAGGGGGTTGCTGACTGACTTTTGGTATTGCAGAGCCTCTCTGTTCCATAGAAAGACTGTTTCTGCCCGAAGTCAGCAGAAGGCAGACCTCGCTGCTGCGCTCACGCCCCTGCCGCAGCAAGCCCTTCTGCTCTGTATGAAGGGCCACAAGAGGAAGACTACTACTCTCTCGCCCATCTTCCATCTGAAGAAGGCGGCACTGATTTGACCCATGGCGCACGTAGGAGCAACACTAGTGGAAGCTGCTGATGGCACACCCTTCCCAAAATAACCAATTATGCCTTCCATACCTGCTAGTGTTTCGATATTGTAAAGACAGTGGTCTAGGAAACGAGCTAAAAAAGGAGCTGGAAAACGCTGCTTCCTCCTACAGGGTATCTTCCACGCTGAGAGACTTTTTTATGTAACTTTTAAGTTTTGTGGCAGAGCTTAAACTGAAGAGTCAGGTTTTTTTCTAAGCTATGCTCCATCACGCAGGTGATCGTACTGAAACATATAAAAGAAAAGTAGCTGGGTTTTGTACCCTGCTGGGTCCTCAAGAAAGTGAGAAGTTTGCATATACTGGGAGTTATGAGGAATATAAATACTCTTCTAATAAAAAAAAAAAATCTTAAAGAGATGGGGTGCTTTTGGGTCCGTAACATATATAAGCACACATCCTACTTGAAGAAGACATCCCATGCTGTTGTTAGGTGCAAATCCATTAAAACAGCATATATTATGCATTGCCGAAGAAGAGGAGTCTATCAGCTGGAAAACAGGGATATTTAAGGCACTACCTGGTAATATTTTTATTACAGAGTATGTTATTGCTGTAGGTGGGACATCAGACATGCTTCTTGGCTTTTTCATGATTCCTCGCGGGCTTTCAAATCACAAACCCAACTTCTCTGTAGATTTTCCTTGCACAGCGGTATCTTAGGGAACACTAACTTTGAGCCTGCACCAAGGAAGCAACTTTTATAGCAGGTGACATCTCCCAGAACTTTATGGCAGGGACTTAGTTGGACCAAATGGCCCCTAACTTTTAACAGAGCCATTTCTCAATTTTCATGAAGTTGAGCATGCTGCCTGCAAAGCTTTATATGGAATAGCATGTTAAAGCTGTTACAATAAATCACTTGCTTCAAAAATAGACGTCGTATTTAGAGAAGTCATGGAGCCAAGTTACTCCAAGCACACATCATCCCCTCAGTGTATATTTCTGCAGCTCTGTTAATATTTAATTTTAACTGTAGGCTATGCATAAGTTATTTTCGCAGGGAAAAAAAAAACGCTATTAAGTTACTAAGTCTGTTTCTAGCTTGCATCATAAATCAAAGAGAGGTTACCTCATTTGTGCTACAGAGCTTTGTAGCTTTGACTTCAGGTGTGCAAAATGGGAAGTTTCTTCCTGGATATATCCCTTTGCAAGATGATTAGAGATGCCGTAAGACCCTCAGATACATTCTGCTGTTAAAGATTCCAGATACAAAATATGTATGCAAGTCTTGAGTGCAAGTCTAGACTTCTTATGCTTCACATGTTTAGTAGACAATGAACCCGGAGTTATGGCAGCTGGAAATTTAATTCAGAGTTTGGCAAAGAATAATCATCTCTAGAAAAAAACTATAAAGGCCCATCACATTATTTTTACAATGAAATACGTTTTTTATTTCTAATCGCAACCTTAAAATACACTGGCCCGACACTGTAATAAGACATAACATAAAACAGTATCAACATGAAGTCATTTTTGTAAGAAATAATATGGGACAAGAATTCTCAGAGAAATAAATGGGTTTGCCTGGCATACTCTCCTTTATCACCACGCATTACTCTACCCACCGTAAGCTTGTGGCTGCATTGGCTGAGGAATCATGAACAGATATTTCCAAGCCATTTCACACTCTTGAATATGCAGATCTGAATGATAACAGGCCATTTCAAAGGCAGAATGAGCCATAACATTCTTAATTCACATAAAATTGCTCCATGTATTTTTTCAAAAAAGTGATATTTTCAAAGCCGTGTTTTGGATTGCTGTTATTCTGGATGAGAAGCTCTAAGACCAGAGAGAGGATGAAAGCTACCACGTGCTGTTTCACAGCGTTTCACTTTCTGAATTGCAGCACCCTGCCTCTTAAAGATCCTCACGTAGACAGTGCCTCTCCGGTGTACCAGGCTGTGCTTAAAACTCAGAACAAGCCTGAAGATGAAACCGAAGACTGGAGTCGCCGCTCTGCCAATCTGCAGTCTAGGTCTTTCCGCATCCTTGCCCAGATGACTGGAACGGAGTACAGTAAGTCAAATAAGAAAACATCCCCTTCGTCTTGATTTTAGATTCATGTCCTTATTTTCTTACCCCAGCATTAACAACTGATACCCAAGGAAGACTCATGTCTGAGAACCCTGGATGTAACCTAGGACACCACAGTGTTCAATCTCGCCTTATGCTTTACAATGAAAATTCTCTGATCTGCCAGGGCTCTCACCATAAAAGTATAACAGACTATACAGTAAAAGAGCATTGGGGACCCCATAGTTCTTACTTACAAATCAAATCTCTGCAATGTAATCTTTCATTTTCCAGCAGCCTAGCAAAGCTGTCCATTCATTTGAAAAAAAGATAAACAACTTACATTTCTTGTAACAGTCTTTCATAGAAGTGACTTCCCGAGGTCAAAAAAAATTGTGGATCACCATTTGTATTGAACCTATGGCTCTCTATCAATCAGCCCTGTTATCTAAACCTAGATCGGCTATGAATGCCACGGGAGCTTGAACTTTGTTGCCTATGGAAATGTTTCTCTAACCACCGGGTACCAACCGCACAGCTTGTTTCTGATCTAGAGAGAAGAAAGTTCAGGGACCTTTCCCACATCAGGGGATAGGAATCTGCTGCTGCCTCTCATGCGTTCCTACAAAACAGCAGGCCCTCTCTGTAGAATCATTGCCTACAGCTGCAAGACATTGCTCATAAATGCATGAGAAAGTAGTTGTAATTGCTACTTTCCTACTAACATCCTTCTTCCTAGCTCTAGGGAACTGCTCCTCTTTGTGCTGTTCTTACAAAATCTATGGCTGCAAAGTCAGCATGAATGGACCTTGTGACAGGCTTTTGATACACTTCTAAAGAACTTATAATTTTGTCATAAAGCCAATTCCTTTCTTTCTTTTTTAACTGAAACATTTTTTTGCCTGCAGTGCAAGATCCAGATGAAGAAGCCCTGAGGAGGTCAAGGTAGGCAACTCCCTGTGAAAAATATGGCTTTCTCCTTGCTGATAACCAAATGATGTTTTAAAACAGCATTAATATGAACGCACATTATTATCTTTTTGTCTTAAAATATTCTAATACACTTACTTAAAAATCACTAAAATCAAAATGCTATCAGTGAAAGGCATTTGAATGAAAAGGATAACAAATCAGCATGTTTTTAGGAAAGAGAGTGCAGAATTCCTGAAGTGTGTGTTCAAATCTGAAAGCTCTCTGCACATGCAACTGTTGTGTACTTTACTGGGTGTGTGAATGCAATGAGTTCCTAAGGCCAAGCCCTGTGTAACTACTTGATTGTGTAACTGGATGAAAATATATAATGTTGTGATAGCACAGAAATTTGTGAGCAATTTATTTGGATGACCCTGTGATTGACGTTTGATTCTCCTGAAACAATACAGTAAAGGAGTTGTTTCCATCCGTATCCAGAACCATTTACTTATCTCTTGTTTGGAATAAATACAACCCAAATTTGTAGAATATGGAAGCACAGGACTGCTTTTGCTAGTGGATAAATGTATTTGTTTTGTATGATCTACCAAAAACACTGAAAAAGTGGATATGTTCAGAGATATAATAAGGAATTAAAAACTTATCATCATGTTATGTTGTCCTACACAGCCGGGAAACAGATTTATTAGAGATTCTTATGTTGAGCTTAAAAACTGCAGTTGAATCAGAGCATCCTGCATGCAAACCTGATTTTCTGTTTGCGTACTTCAAATCCCTGTATCATATTAGCTCCTCTAAGCTGCTGGCTGGGTTTATGATGTGTTTGATACTCAATCCACTTTCTCTTTTTTTTTTTTTTCTATTTTTTTTTTACTGCCATGTGGCTTCCATAAAGGTTTTGAGCTTTTGATCACAGTGCAAGTTACAAATGTTGAATCAGTGAGAAAGATGTCTGTCATCTTCCCTGTGAAAATATAATAAGTATACTTTCAGTTTATGGTTGCTATAAACCTTCCGTTGCAGTTCACCGCAGTTCATGGCTAGGTGCCTGAACATCAGGCTTGACATCACATCCCTCACGAATTTATTTCTTCGCTCAAACATGCAAGCCTAATGCTTATTAAATATATGGTGCATTATCTGTTTTGATGTAATAGCACACATCCAAATCCTTATTATGATAGGATTTAAAGCGTTGTGCTGAACTTAAGTCCCCCATACACATCTGAAAGTAATATGCTGTTTTAAAGAAATAATCTTCCTAGCTGTAGTCTGTGGCTTTGGAAAATACTAGATATTGGAAACTTAACATGGTATCAGATACGTTGAAAATAATTATCTAGTAACACATCAACATATGTAAAGAGCACGTTCTGTTCAGTTTAACTTAAAGTACCTGACCACATACACTGTGCTTTGCACATTTTCTGCAGTTTTGAGGTATCACTGTGTTATCCTTTTTTCCCACAAGGGCAGTTATGGTTATGAGTATATTTAGGCACAGCGGTCTTACCTAAAGAGGTTTAAGGGCATTCATTGGTAGCAGAGGCAGAAGGGAATATATACTAGGTAGTTATATGGGTAGAGCGTAACTGGTGTGAGCTCTGGTGCAAGGAATGAAATGGGGTCTCCTTCCTACCTGACCGATAGCGCTTGCCCCATCTGGGTGGCTTGGTACCTACCTCAAACGTTGCACGCGCTCCACTGCAGATTTGGTAGCAACAGCCCTGGTTATGCACGCATCCATCATATACTACTCTTTTGGGCCTATTGGAGTCCTTCTGTTCAATCTTCTGGCCTCAATCTTCTGGCAAGGCTCCTGCCACTCTTGATTTTGTACAGGATGGAAGGACCTATGTCAGATGCACAGAATTGGTCCTTTTGCGCTCTTCCAGCACGATGATGGAGTAGAAACTCCTCTTCAGTTTCTACTCCAGACAGCCTGTACAAGCACACCTTTCTCCATGCCCACATTTTGGGACCACCTGGAAGGCTTCCTGGGCTCCCGAAAGCAAAAGGTTTCCATGGAACTGCGGAATCTGAGCCTTGCCAGATTCAGTGTTGCGTTACTCCCATGCTGTGCTGGCATTCTGGAAAAATCCTTCATGTTCCAAAACTTAAACTGCCAGAGATTTCACAGCGTGGGGAATTTTGGCCTCAGGGCATGCTGTGAGCTCTCTCTGTCTGGTGCTTTCTCTTGCCTCTTTGTGTTAGCTCTTCAGTGTAGTCAGCAAGAACTGCATGAAATGGTGATCAGGTTTCTTCTAAACACTTGGGGGGGGGGGGGAATAAAAAAAAAAGAAAACCAACCATGTAGCTTATAGTTGGCAGAACTGTTTTACATAATAGTCACTTGTAGATTGCTGCTTCCAACTTCATGACGTATGCTCTGAACAGAACCCACGAAGCTTGGGAGTTTCCAGGTGGCAGAACATTCCTTTCACTTAACCTTAATGAGCGCATTGCATGGCTGTCCTTTGCTCATGCTAGTGCTATTTTGAAGGCACACATAAGACTACAACTTGCTATGAAAACTTTCCGTTGCCGTTGCGATGATTGTTACGGAATCTTTTCTGGAAAGATGGTATCCATTTCAAGCTGAACAGATGTTTCTGAATACCTTTTCCTTGAATGGAGGGGTGTACCTTTAAAGCAGTAAGGGAATTCTTAAATTTCATGTAAGACCCACTGTATGCTCCAATGTAACTTGAAAAAATGCCATCAAGAAGTTTCAGCATTTCAGCTAGGAATACTTGATATCTTTTAATTACTTAAAAGCATAAAAGATGGTTTGAGAAGTCGTACATCAAGACTCCTTTAGGAGTGTTACTTGCATGACACTGTGTTACTAGGAACGGAAGATCTGGAAATATCAGCAAATTTGTTGGCATTTACTGTTTATTGTTTTGCACTTTCCTCAGCCTGAGGAGTAAACCCAGCCCAGTCTGTTCTTCTCTGTTTGGCTGGTTTCACTCTCAAGTTCCGCTGCATTAACACAATTGTCTTGCATTTTGGGTATAAATAACGAGGGGAAAATTACCTTGCTTGCAATGAATCAAATACTTTTTGCAAATAACATTTTATTTTCCATTCTGTTTGATATACTTCTCCTTGACTGTGCTCTCATCCCACATCTTCCTCCTTCCTCTTTTTATTTATAAAAACCTGAATTTAAACTATAGAACATCCAGAAGACATTAAACCCTGAGAGGTGCTGAACATTGCTTACAACTTGCTCGAGTGCCCCGGTCTGCAGTCAAAGGTAGCTAGGGGTGTTAGCAGGAGGTGGCCAATACTTCACAGGACTGTGCTTTGAAAAATCCCCTGTTAGTCTGCTTTTTTGACACAAATGACCAGAAATATTTATGCAAATGTCAACATTTACACTCACTCATGTTGAGAAAAGCTATAGAAAAAGTACTGCTGAAACCTGTGGCTCATGATCCTTATGGGAAGGACAGCAGGATAGATATATATATATATATATAGGCTGACCTAGGTATGACAGAATGGAAAATATTTGCATTAATTTTGCTCTTGTATGGAGTTAACTTTCACTGGCCGCTCAGTTGCGGGGGAGGGAGGGAAAAGCCGAGAGAATCTGCTGGCAGGAAAACAATGGCATTACACTGCCTTTCTAGCAAAAGCAGCCCTGTAATACCAAGCACAAGTCAAAGAACATGAAGTTATATTAAGTTACTTCTCAGAAATGAACAACTGCAAAACCGTTCATACATGGTCCAAAAAGGATCCAAGCTTTCTTTGCACTGATTTGAAAGCTGAGGAAAAAAATCCAAATAAATTGCCATTGCCCTAGTTATGAGGCAGGGGAGTGGTAGCCATGGTCCCTAACCCCTTTCTTTCTCCCTCCTTTCTTTCTTCTCTGTGTCTCTCTCTCTCTGTCTCTGTCTCTCTCTCTCTCTCTTTCTTCATGCCACAGGGAAAGGTTTGAAACGGAACGTAACAGCCCACGCTTTGCCAAATTGCGCAACTGGCATCACGGCCTATCGGCGCAAATCCTTAATGTTAAAAGTTAAAAGCCCGCATTTAGCAGGCAAATACACGAGACAGAGAATTACAGTAACAAATTAACTGCTGTCCTGAGTTAGAGCCTAAGAGTGTCACACACGCAGGAACGACTTACTGCTAGGGCCTTTCTCTGAGTGCCTGTCTTCTGTAGATTTCTGTTGTTAGCCTGGTATCCATTCACTGTCACCAAAAGTAAAAATAATGACACAACCCGGTTCATGGGTTGTTGAGGGTTGGACTAGGCGACCTTTAAAGGTCCCTTCCCACCCAAACTACTCTGTGATTCTATTCTATATGTTCTTCATTATAAAGTAGATTAGCTTTTGTCCTTTACTGTATCAAATGTAATGTCAGTATACAGGAAAACATCCCTATTGTACTCTCTTGACTTTAATTCTAGAAGAAAATGAGAGGGAAGTTATTGACAGTATTTCTTTAGGAGGAAGAGGAAGGAGGCTTTTACTGAATTTTACTGCTGTAAGGATAATTAAGTAGGCGAAAGAAAGGTGAAAAGAAAAACTGACTGAGCCTGGCCTAGACTTTGCTAAATGTAAAACATACTTAGTTTGCATAGTTGAATGATGCCGTTTGAAATGAGATATTAGCAATGTGAAGTTATATTTCTTCAGTATATTATACCGGTAGAAGTCATTTGCTGAAACCATTGCTGTAAGTTTTCTGTTGGAAACCTGAATTTCTCATTATGTGAAAGCTAGAGATAGCTGTGATCACTCGGGATCTGTGGGGAAACGACATTTTGCTAGAGGTGATTTAGGAATGAGAAGAATATATAGTACTACTCGTACACTGAAGTTTTTAAAAGCATCTTGTAAGTTTTAAGGAATATGTAAGTTTTAAGGAATATGTTGCCCATTCTGTATTGCTCTTGCTTTGACCCACATTTTTTTCTGTATATAGCAGCATGCTTTATCTGAAATAAAAGGTTTTAAAACTAAAATAATTATGTGCCTGTTTTACACAGTACTTCATTCTGTTTTAAAACAATAACTGCTTCAACTGATTATTGAAAGAAGAGCTTTTCTTTCCACGATAGAGAATTTGGTCAAAAAGCTTTCCCCTATTACCTATAATTCTTACTGACCTTTAAGTTACCTGAATTAGAATAAACCTGACAAAGCAATTGAAAGAACAACAACAGAAATGAACAAATATCATATTAGGTGTGAATGACAATAAAGCGTAATTAATAGATGTTAGATTACGACCTATTGATAATGTCGTTTAGCATTGCCATTTGAATACTATGCGTTCTCTGGCAGTAACGGATTAATTTGTGCCCGTGGTGAAGGCACTTGAGACATTGCTGGTGCTTAGAATGGGATCTTTTTGTTTCAACGTTGCAATAATGCTTGGCTTTTAAGCTGTGTCAGTCAAGATATGGCAAACCTATACCAAAGGCCCCCAAATAGTTCTATTTTCTGTTTGAAGTACACCAAGAGCAAAGTCACTTCCCTTTCTAGTTTCTGCTCTGATCATTAAATGAAACAAAAAATGCAACTAAATTAAACTGTTTGTGGTTTCCATAGGAACAGTTGATGTTAGCCCGCAACGATCTGCATTAGGAGTCCTAAGCACTGACTGAAGCAAAAGTTTCTGGTGCTAAAACACTGGTCTCTGCAATGGAAGGTTGACTCTGTTGCAGCCCTGCCTACAGCCCTCAAGAATTTTTTTTTTTTTTTTATTTAACTTTTTAAAACCTAAGCACTGACTGAAGCAAAAGTTTCTGGTGCTAAAACACTGGTCTCTGCAATGGAAGGTTGACTCTGTTGCAGCCCTGCCTACAGCCCTCAAGAATTTTTTTTTTTTTTTTCATTAACTTCTATAAACTGGGAATTAGGTACCTTTATCTGGTAGCAGTAATTCTGATCAGAGATTAGTGCATGAGATTAGATTGAAACTCTTAGACCTTTTGCTGCTTCCAAACATTTAGCACTTATATCAGCAGTCCATAAAAGAACAAAGTTCGTTCAAACTCCCATTGTTTTTCTGCGTTATAGAAGGAAGGCAAAGCTACTGTTCATGGGGGATTTTGCATGGACCAACCAAATCAAGTGTTTAAAGGAAAAAAAATCTAGCTATCATATTTAAAAAAAAAAAAAAAAGTAATTTTTGAGTATTATTTAAGAGTACATGAACACTAGTTCCTTTTAAAATGCATTTCACTTTTCTTAGATAAGTACCGTAGCAATTCAGTAAGCATGCCATTTAATACACGACATTCATTTCTATTTTCCTTATGGGAGCACAAACAGACTCTGATCATACCATCTTATTAGTGCCTGTGGAACATCAGCATAACTGCATGAAATAAGAGCAACATTTTAACTTTTCCTGAATGTTGCTAAGATCAAACTTTGGTTCAGAGTGGGTGAATTTTATTTATATATAGGAAATTTTGATAGAATATAAAATATCAATAGGCAATTAACTTTTTTTCATGAACATCAAATGTACCTAAGTAAAAAAATCTTCCAGTTCTAATTTTCAACCAAATTAAATGGTTTTCTGAATAATTAATAATACAACGTTTTCACTTAAATAGGAATTGTGTAACCTTAATGTTTTATGAACATAATACAGATGCTATTTGTTTCAAATAGTCCTAGTGCATGTACTATAATGGAAAAGAAAATGTCTAGATTATATCTCAATGTTTATACTTAATGTTATTTTTAAAGGTATTTTTTAATAATCAGAAAAGCATAGTTTGATCAGATATGAAACTAATGCAGATGTAATTAAGGAACCCCTTCCCCTTAGCTCTGCTTCAGTGGATTTAATGATAAAAATTCAGTGCATATAAACCATGTAATCAGATAGAGAAATAGTTGTAATGCATTCTCCTGGAGGATACAAAATAGAATCTAAACACTCTCCAAGCTTGTAGAATTTCAGTTCTTTATATAATTACAGAAGAAAAAGTAATTTAAAAAATCTTCAATAGTTGGTAACTTTTGGAACTTCTGCAATGATAAAGACCTTTTGTGAAGGTGCTGTCATTAATCCCTAAGGCAAGATTGTTTACTATAGCATATTTCTACTGCTTAGTCCAGTCCCTCTCAAAAAATCTCCTAAGTGATGGGCTTAGTTAATTAAACTGTCAGTTAGATTTTTCTGTCCAGTTTCTTGTTTATATTTAGACTTAACTCTTACTCCTCAAAAATCTGCCTTTATGTTGTCATGGCGATCTTCAAGCCCAGAAAATGAATGTTACTGATCTTTCTTTATATAACTTCCTAATTTTTTGTATAACTTTCTTTTTATAACTTTAACTTTCTCTTATATAAGTATTAAGAGGCCTTGTTTTTCCCTCCTGAGTAGGAGACAGACTTTTCCTGTAAGGTGGAGAAGTGGGGCTGGATTTGTCGTTCTACTACATCTCGTTGCTAGAGACTGTAACAGACTTAGGCCTGATAAGAAACCATTAACAGCTTTAAGAAACCACTAGCTTTGTTCTAGCAAAAAGTCAAGTCTGGCCTGGTTATGCCCTATTTTTAATATGTCCAGGCTTATCTTGCTGTGTGTTGCTTCTGATTGACTGACCCCATCTTGCAGTGTTTCTTGACCATTTGCAGAAGTCTGCTGGTTTGCCTAGGAAAATTAGTCTCAGTTAATGACAGTGAGGCTTAAAATAGGTTCCTGATTGAAGACTTGATGAATCATGTAATTCTTTAAAATAGCACTGATGATAGGCAGGTATATCTGTCCCGCGCTGAATATATTTTGAACCATGACTGTTCTGCTGAGCAGAGGACAATGGTTGGTGACAATACTGTCTTCTAAATAGCCACTGTGCCAAAAATAAAGCGAAGCGCAGGATGTGGATAGTGATATTAACCCCCTGCCCTTCCCAATATTGCCAGTAAAGCATAGTGTTATAAGCATTTAACGAAGATACAGCAAAGCTGATGCCAGTAGGAAATCAAAACCAAAAGGCCTTCCAGGTAAATCTGCTTGTCTGGTCATGACACAGGGAAATGCTCATTTTCTGCTGTGGTATAAGACTGTTTGATCTAAACTAACCCGTTTCCTGAATACTGCTGCCTTGCCTTCTACTCAAATGGTCTTCTCGCCTCCTACGGCGCTTAGAGTGCGGCAGGAATACTGACTGCATGCAGTGTGTGCTGATGGGATGTGGCTAGAGTGTGACTTTAGGAAAGCAGGCATGAGAACTTGACCTCTCTTCCTTTCATGCATGAAGAAATTACAAAAGGAGAAAGGTTCTGTGGCTCCTTCCCTTGCCTCCCTCTTTTCACGCCTGCCTGCATGGGAAGGAGAGTAAGTTTTTGCTATGTAATAAATATAGAGGTCGCTTTCTTTTCATTGCGGTTTCTCTTTCATTATGCACAACTGCGTGGAGTTGCAGCAGCGAGGAACAAGTATTTTAGGGACTACTTTATCGCTTTTGAAAAGTCCAACTCTTGTGTATCACAGAGCTGTCTGAAGCCTTCTTCAGGGGCAGAAGAGGTGACACCGATTTTTCTCTTGTGCACTCAGGTTCCCAGAGGGACTAAGTTGATTTTGCAGCTTCTTGAGCAGTGTCTACCATGAGTTTCAGTGACTGGGACTATCATTACGCTACCATTACACATATCAGAATATACATGGATACTCGCACAAATTTTCGTTGGCAAAGTTAAAAAGATAGAATTTTGGCGTGGTACGTGATAGTACCAGATAATGACTTTTTCGTCAGTTAGCCTTTAATCAACAGCTTTCTGCAATATGCACAAAAATGAATTGACTAAAATTTGCTCTCACGTACAATAACATTCTTTGTTCTACCACTGCTTATCAAAGCCATCAGACACCACCAAGACAAGCTAAGGCACCTTGATCCCCTTCCTTCATTTGCCAGAATTTCCAATGATTAGCTTTGCTGACCTGCCCAATTGCCAAAAAACTTCCTATCTGTATGCTAATCAGATTACCAAAATCCTTTTGAAAGATATACCTTATTTTTCCACAACAGCCCATGAAATAAAGCAGACTTCTATAGGTAGCTTTCTCATTTAAGGAACATAGCTGCAATAAAGAATAATAAGCACATCAGTTTAATATATTCTGATCTGCACTTACCTTTTAGCACCTAAAGAGTGACAAAAACGTAGGAACAGTGAATTAACTCAATTGTCTCTATGAATTCTGAGTGAAACCAGAAGGGAAAATTGATCAAATATAATGTCTGTCTTCCCCA